AAGGAAGTCTAGGATTAGTTCAGAGTCTGATCAGTATAGGTACTTTTGTACTTTTGATTTTTGTACAGTCATGGCTTTTCTGTTCTGTCTTTCTTTCTGTCGAAAGCCATGTACTGTTCTGTAGATGATTGTTTTGAGGAAATGAAATTGGATAGATGTTTTGTTTCGCTGCATTTGATGATACATAGTAGCTCTGTGTTTGTTAGTCTGTGTGAATTAATTATTTGGAAGATTCAGTTCCGAACCAAATTCCAAAGCTAGATCCTGGTTAGTGCAGCTCCGTCGCGATCCAGCACGGGCGGGATCCGTCTCGTCTCGGGTCGGGTCGTGATATACTTTATATAAGGTATTAGCATTGTGTTCAAGGGACAAGGTCGGTGAAAGAGTACACTGAGGAGTTTAACCGGTTGAGTGCTAGAAATAACCTTAATGAATCCGCTAATCAATTGGTAGCCAGATACATCAAAGGGCTTAAAGACAGCATTCAAGATTGATTAGAACTAAACTCTGTTTGGTCGATGCCTCAGGCTGTAAATTTTGCCATAAAAGCTGAATTACAGCAAAACCGACACACCAAGACCCCTTACAGTAGGCGTCCATGGCAGGAATCCAATGTTGGAATCAGCATAAATTCCACGCCCGTTTCTAAACCGCAGTCCAACAGTGTACCAATCAATAAGCCGGCTACCCCGGCTCATGTTGTGAATGAAGTAAAGAATCAATTTAGGCCCAAGTCTTCATCTAAAGACAACCCCTACACTAAGCTGCATACACTCAAATGTTTCTGTTGCTTCCAACCTGGCCATAAGTCGAACGAATGCTCTCAAAGACAGCAAGTGCAGACAGCAGAATGTCAGGAGGATGTTGAACAAGCTGAAACAGAATGAGACAAGGAAGGTGAGATAGAAGATATCCCGGCAGATGAAGGAGAGCCACTACTGTATGTCATGGAAAAACTACTGTGCCAACACAATTTGTCTCAGCGACATGCCATTTTCAAGACTCGATGCACTATAAGCGGAAGGGTGTGCGACCTAGTGATTGACAGTGGGTGCACAAAAATAGTGGTCTCTCGATCGGTTGTTCAAAATTTGCAGTTGAAAACTACCAAAAACTCGCAACCTTATAAAATAGGTTGGGTTAAGAAGGGGGTAGATATAATGGTTACAGACTCATGTCGGGTGGTGTTTTCTATCGACAAATAATATGTTTTCGAGGTTCTGTGCGACATCTTAGAAATGGACGTTTGTCACTTGATCTTGGGAAGGCCATGGCAATTCGACGTTGGCACCACTTACGATTGTCGTGCCAATGTGTACTCCTTTGATTGGAAAGGACAACGCCTGAGATTGCTGTCGGGACTATCGGAGCCAAAGCCACAAAGTGCAGGTCCGTCCCAATAAACAACCTTGCATATTGTAACGTGATCAACGCTATTACACTGCTGGAGAGAGCCCGCTCCCATGTTCGCGCTTCTATTTACTTAGACAAATCCAATTCCACAACAAGGTGAATTATATGCTGACTTGAACAAACTCTTACATCTATATCGAGAATTGCTACCCGAAGAATTGCCATCTGAATTATCGCCTCTTATAGATATACAGCATCAAATAGAAATAATTGACAACCTCCTCAAACATCAATTGATACAAGTAAGCATGAGTCCTTGTGCAGTACCGGCATTGTTAGTTCCGAAGAAAGATGGTAAGTGACGAATGTGCATTGACAGTCGGACAGTCAATAAAACCACAATTAAGTATAGATTTTCGGTGCCAATAGTTGATGAGCTTTTAGACTGGCTGACGAGGTCATCCGTGTTCTCTAAACTAGACCTTCGAAGTGGCTACTATTAAATTTGTATTCGTTCTGACGATGAGTGGAAAACGGCTTTCAAAACCCCCCAAGGGTTGTACGAGTGGAAGGTAATGCCATTTGGGTTATGCAATGCACCCTCCACATTTATGAGGATGATGAACGAAATTTTGAAGCCATTTTTGGGTAAATTCTGCATAGTATACTTCGACGATATATTGGTATACAGCTCTGATTGGCATCAACACTTACAACATTTGCAGACTCTATTTGAGATTCTTAAAAAGTAAAGATTGTTTATCAATCTTCCCAAATGTGAACTGGCCACCTCTCAAGTGCGGTTCTGAGCTTTGTTATTTCGGCAGAAGGAGTCCATACGGATCCTCAAAAAGTAATAACAATTCTTGACTGGCCTTCACCGCAGTCTTTCTTTGAAGTGCAGAGCTTCCACGGCCTAGCGAATTTCTACCAGAAATTTATCAAAATTTCAGTATCATAATAGCGCCAATAACTGAATATTTGAAAGCTAAAACATTTCATTGGGGGCTTGAACAGCAAATCAGTTTTGAAGAAATCAAACAAGCATTAAGCTCGGCCACTGTCTTGGCACTTCCCAACTTTGACAACTTGTTTACAGTTGAGACAGATGTGTCATCGATTGGCATTGGAGCCGTACTCACCCCCAAGGAGGTAGACCAATAGCTTTCTTTAGTGAAAAGCTATGCTCGGCACGACAAAAGTAGACCCCTTACGAACAAGAGTTCTATGTTATTGTTCGTGCGTTGAAGCAATGGGAACAATATTTATTACATCAATAATTCATATTATGCAGTGAAAACAAAGCTTTGCAATACATAAATAGCCAACGCACCATTAGCATACTACATGCCCGATGGGTTATGTTCTTACAGTGTTTTTCATTTACCATCAAGCATAAGCCCGGGAAAGACAATCGGGTAGCTGACGCCCTGAGTAGAAAGACTATTCTGCTTACAAAACTACAGACCAAAATAAACGGTCTGGAATGTCTTAAAGAGCTCTATGAAGCTGATCCCGACTTCAGTGATATATGGAAACAGTGTTTGGAAACACAAAATTGCGATGTCTATTCCATTAGACATGGCTACTTATTTAAACAAGATCTTCTGTGCATGCCTGTTTTGTCTTAGCAGCAACAGCTAATTCGTAAGGCTCACAGTGGAGGGCTTGCGGCTCACGTTGGCCGTGATAATACACTCTGACAACTTCAGTCCAAATTCTTTTGGCCAAGATTATGGCGCGACACATTCCAACTTGTTGATAGTTGTCCCGTGTGTCAAGTGTACAAGGGAGGGGCTCAAAATACGGGACTGCATATGTCATTGTCGGTACCTGATTCCATATGGGAAGACCTTAGCCTGGACTTTGTCCTAGGCTTGCCGAGGACCAGACGAGGAAATGATTCGATCATGGTGGTAGTGGACAGATTCTCCAAGATGGCTCACTTCATCTCCTGTAAGACAACTTCTAACGCTTTGAACATTGCACAACTTTTTTTTAACGAAATTGTTCGTTTGCATTGCCTTCCTAGAACTCTTACATCATATAGAGATGTCAAATTCATCAGCCATTTTTGGCGAGAACTATGGAAGCGATTGGGTATTGATCTTCGTCTTAGCTCGGCATACCATCCCCAATCAGATGGTCAAACAGAGGTTGTCAACCGAACTCTAGACAACATGTTGCGGTGTTTGGTACAAGAACATCCCAAGTAGTGGGAAGAAGTATTGAGCAAAGCAGAATTTGATTACAATTCTATGACTAATCGCTCTACGGGTAAGCCACCATTCAGTATTGTTTATATTAAATCCCCTAATATTGCGTTGGATCTTACTGTCTTGCCAAAGTGTAAATCGTCGGCAGCTGCATCGTTCACGTATCGCTATAGCGACATGCTCACTGAGGTCTGTCAGCAAATCATCAACGCGAATCAACGTCACAAGGAGGCTGCAGACACTTACCGAAGATAAAAATTATTCCATGTTGGAGATATAGTCATGGTTCGGCTATGCAGAGAGCGTTTTACACATGGAACCTACTCCAAACTAGCACGCCACAATATTGGACATGTTCCTATAGTTGCCAAAATCAATGATAATGCCTACACGGTTGCTTTACCCGCTGACTGCAACACATCTCCAACCTTCAATGTATCAGATATATGGCCTTTCAGGCCTTCGGATGATGGTATTATCATGCTCAGCTCATCGGAGTCGAGCTCTTCTGAAGCCGGGGAGGACTGATGCGGTGCATGTTAACAAAAGGGAGTTTCTATACATCTTATTT